AACACCGTGAATTAGCACACGTGGTTGGGTTTAGAAAAAAAGTACAGAGTTTGGCTTTAGAAACTTAAGGGACGCAAACATCGCCCTCTCAGGTGAAAGTCTATGTTTGTTGGACCCATCCGCCACCCTTCCCACCAACTTCACTTGGACTTTCGCCACCTTAACTTTCGTCCTTGTCCCACAGAGTTTCCCCCCAATGCCACCAGGTGCTGTTTAACTATAATAGCAACCGGCCGACATTAAAGGATGCCTTTTGCTGGTTTCTGGTGCTGCAAGTGACTGCCCAGGCATCGGATTTCAATGAATTTGAAGTGAGACTGGGCTCAAGCTGACATAGTCACCAAGTGTTGGAGGGGATGGTTGGTGGTGTGACACCGAGGCGAGACGCCTGCTGGCTGCCAACAGCAAAACCGGTCGTTTTTCAGCAAGACATCTACCCAATCTCACTCCCAACTTGTTAAATACCGACACTTGGTCAGCTGGCCGTTGCCATTAGACACCAATGAACAGAGGCACATTATAGCAGCGATATGAGAGGAGTCAGGCAGTGGCATTTGTTAACACTTCCGGCAACTACTGTTTAAAGAGCAAGACAGTTCACACTTAAGGGAGGTGGATGGGTCAAACAAACTCTGGACTTTCACCCGGGAGCCTGCTATTCGTGTCCAGTATGAAAACAAAAGTCAATCAAGTTGTTTTTGGAACAGCGAAGTGTGCTAGTATGTGTAACATACTATGCTGGTGAAGTATGTCAATTGATGTTACATTACGTTGGTAACAAGCGTACTTATTTAAAGGCAAACCTGATTTTTTCTTAACCTACCCTTACCTTTTTCTAAACCTGTTTTTGTTGCTTAAACCTAGGGACAATGAAGTTCTTTACCCACGTTTAAGTTTATTTTGTTACGCAGGTAACAAGTGTATATTGACACGCTGTCCCTGAGCATCCAAAACTGACACAGGAGGGGTACCTTGTGGGTCATATTTTGACGTGACGGGCCACTGACCAAGCATTGGTATTTAACGAGTTGGGAGTGAAAATGTCAGGCCGAGGGGGCTGCCCTGGACAGGCACCCCGAGCAGTTGGGCATTCGGTGCCTTGCTCAAGGGTACCTCGGCACGGCCCAGGAGGTGAGCTGGCACCACTCCAGCTACCAGTCTACACTTGATATTTGCTCTGGATGGGGACTTTAGTTGGCGACCCTCCGGTTCCCAACCCAAGTTCCCATTGACTGAGCTACTGCCGCCCCAAATCATGACTTTTTCCTATCCATGACCAAGTAGTTTTTGTGCTTAAACATAACCAAACATTAACCACAACATTGTTGAAATATAGATAAACAAAAAGTTTGAACATATCCACTACAAAAAAATGTGCAAATGTTACATATCTGTGGTTTGCAGAAATGTTTGATTTCTTTGATGTACTTCTGTTGAAAGGTTTGTCTGTTCTTCCAATGCTTTTAACAGATCCAGCTACAGCAGATGAGTCATTATCAAGATGTTTTTCAGCATCTCTGCTACCTTTGTTTGGGAATCTGGTAGCACTGATGCATTCACTCTATGTCGATGAATTGAGATGGAGGCTACTTTTACTGTTATTCTGTATCCCCGTGAGGCTTGGGAATGGATGCTCTGGAGTATACATTCAATAGCATCACTGCATACACTTTACATCTCTGCACCATCTACATTTGCATCTCAGCCAGAACCCAGTGTTGTCCTTGGCTTATGTGTGTTTACATGTTGAGTTATAGCACGTTGAGACTGACAGCTGGCTAAACCCTATTAAACTAGTCACCACATTCCATGGGTCCACCATTAAAAGTGACCTAATGCCCCTCAACACACAGACACACACACCAACTGAGAGCGGCTTGTAAAACATGACAGATTTATCGTCTTTGCTCTCCCTTCTGTTTTGAGAGGGTGTTTGCTCTACAAGCTATTTTGGTCGGGTTTATGTGTGAGTATACAAACCTTGACGACGGAGGTATGCAGGGAATACAAGAAATCATGCTCCAACGTGACCTTAGAGGTGTTTTTATTAGCTGGTATTTTAAACTATTTGATGTTATAATGATCTCTTGTTAGGATGAATTGGATATAGTGTGAAGGCGGTGTGCAAATATAGTTTGAATCACACCTTTTTTAGAATAGAAATACATTTTATTGCCTCCTGAAACAGTCTAATGAAACAAGCAGTAAAAGACTGGGTCGATAAGGTGTCACATCTTGGATATTATTTCCGACACTATTTGCAAAGGTCGTTCTGGGGTTGCCTTCTGTCTGCAAGTGTGTGTGTGGCCAAGACAGCTCTTAGTGGATTTTCACATTCCTTACTCAAGGGAGATTTAACTTAGAGTGTGATTGTGGGTGATGGCAGACCTAACCTCCAAGTCCTTAACATCATTTTACTTAACTACTTATTCTGCTACCCTGAGGTGAAAGCTTGGCTGTCTGTGTCTGCGCCTCTGTGCACTACACACACACACACACACACACACATGCACTGTAGAATAGTAGCAATGCATTCTTTGCTGGGTAATCAGTACCCCTCGAGAGGTGTGGACTCGAGTCACATGACTTGTCCTCGAGATGGACTCAAGTCACAAAATTGATGACTGTAGATTCAACTTGATAAAACCAAAAAAACACTTGGACCTCGACTTGGACCTCAACACCAATGACTTGTGACGTCTCTTGGACTTGAACCTTTTGATTGCTTGAGACTTGACACCTTCCGCAAAACCCAAAGATTAAAAAGTCTGTTATTTGAAAAGAGTACCACAAATCCATTAATTAATCTTAATTTCCTGAATCAACCAACATTCTTTCCCACAAAGTCCAAACTTAATTCTCCAGATTATCCACTTTGTTCAAACCAGTCCGACAGCATCCAGTTCAGCTGCAGAAGGAAAACATGACGAACTAATGTTACTAAGCGCCAGTTGGAAAAAATGACACCAAAGATAATTTTGTAAGTGTACAAGAACTATGCAGTGGTCCACAAAGAATGTATTGCACTATACAAAATGTGCGGGTTGAAATCTACAGACAGAGACGCAAAAACTTCCAACTTCGTTCGACATTTAAAGTTGCACAAAGAAATGTAAGTTGAGGTTAATATTAACATGGCCGGCTAATGCTTAGCTAATGTTAGCTTAATAGGTCAGCGTTCACACTGAGAAGTACGGAAAAATGCAGTGCACTATGAGTACCTGGATGGGTGCACTCAAAACAGTCAAGAAGTTGAGTGTGGAAATATGGACACTTCTCGCCCTCAATAGTCGCCATCTTGGCTTTGTAGCAGAAGGGGAGGGACCACTTTTCAAACTGGAAATAGCGGCTGAGGACTGTGCGACCTTGAACGTCACTGCATTGTATAAATACATGTGTTTTTTGCACTAAGCACCAATATACTGTTGTCAGGTATGAGCCAGCAGTGTTTATTGGGTTAATTTAGCAATCTGTAATGATTTGGTATCACGAACGGTAACACGGATGCTAATGCTAGTTTGCTAACTAGCTCATTTGTGGTTGTCATTTCCGTTAAGTGCACAACGGCCGTGTTTGGTTTGAGACAACACTGCCCTGTCGAAATTCACTCTCTACGCCAATAAGTACATAGTGCACATAGTATACTACATAGAAGTATACTTATGGAAGTCTGTGATTTGAGACACAGCATGAGTCTGTACGTAGTCAGTGTCTTTCTCAGATTCTGATCTGTCACAGTGGTCAGATAGGCCTCCTTTCCTCCAAACACTTTCAGTATGGTACCTTCGGAACCAAAAGTAACCCTTCAAACATGGTACCTAGACCCAAGTGTTTCCACCGCAAACAGTAACCTCAAATGTAGGAGGGGTTGTTGTCACTCACTGCTCAGTCCAGCACTCACTGTATTTCCTCATTATCGGTGACACAGATGGAAGTCTGCACCTCATTTATCGTCCACAGAACAGGGTTGAACAAGAGTCTCTCTCCATGGGATATTTAAAAATAGTGGGTTTGTGCATTTAGTCCTTCTCAGGCAAGCTCAGGGGTTTAGTGTTGGAAGGATGCTCTGCACCACTTTTTTTTTTTTTTCTCCGAGTGAGGATTAGAATATATGCAGTTTACATAACCCGGCCGAAATAAATATATATAAACGCTTGAAGATCCACTCATTACTAAAAGTGTGTGTCATATAAAAACTAAAGTAATAGTCAAAGTTTTCACAGTGAAATTTAAGGTGTGCTGATGGATTCACGTCGTCAACTCATGCATTGAGTAACATTACAAGTTAACGTTCTACCTTAAAAGTTGCCGGCAGTAGTCCCGGTGAATTCAGTTATTTTTGTCAGACTCCAGCTGCTGAAAAAGGCAGCAAAACATCCTTTAATTTTATAGTTACAGTTTACTAATGAATGAAAAACTCTCCACGGAATGAACAGTGATTACATAAGCTTCAAAACTAGCCCTGAACAGAGTGACCATCCGGACTGCAGTGTTCACAGCTCCACCTTTTAGTACCAGATCTGTGTGCTAGGTACCCCAGAGGGGGAGGGGGGAAGGGGAAGGGGGAACAAAAATGGGGACGATATGGAACAGTTCCATTGGTACCATCCACAACTTTTCACAGTGGAAAGGGAGAAAGAACATTCCGAACTGAACTGTACTGAACCATACTACTCAATGGCAACAGGGCTATAGTTTGCCATTGTGTTCTGTCTGTTTTAAGTTTGTTTTGGGTTTTTGTGGTAGATATCCAGGTCTTTTTTTTGGTGTGTGTGTGTGAGGGTTGTCCTGAGGTCTTGTGCTGTTAGAGGAGGTGAGCCTCAGGACCAGCTGGCTGACAGGGCTCTCCCTCTCTTTCTCTCTCTCCCTCTCTCTCTGAGCCAACAGGTTGCAGCAGCTTCACCCCCACCCCTCTTCCTAAACTTTTCTGCACCACAGCAGAGCACAGGAAAAAAAAAACCTCTCTGTCATTCATCCACTTTTACACACATCCAGACACGGCCACCTCCTCTTTAACTCAGACACACAGATACACACACTGATTCTCATGTGCCATTCAGTCGATTATCTCTGATAACACCCTCTGCAGGAATACAATATCAGTTCCAGACTTTTTTTCTCCTGACTCGGATGACATCTCTCTGCGTATTTTAGGGGATATTTTCCCCCTGTCGGCCGTCAAGAGGTCACCTGGATTGGGAAGATAATAATGATTCACTTGTCTGCGGTGGTGAGTGAGACTGTGTGGGCCCCTTTTAGGGCCATAGTCAAAACCCATTACTTTAACTGCACTTTAATATGGCACTTTACGGAGTAGTTTTGAATTCTTAACTGCCCAGATACCCTTGTTAAAGCCTAAGTGTCTGGACTGAGGCCAACACTTTTGATACTGAGCCTTTACTGCTGCTCCTTAAAGTACAAATTCTCCTTAAACAGCATTACTGCCCAATATTAGGGCTTGTTGTTTGCCCATTTTCTTGTTGTCTGAATTGCCTGAATGTGATAAGGTACAGTAATTGCTGCAAATGTGCTATTCCACTCAGTCTGAGAACATGCACTTACAAACACACACTCCATGTTCATGCATTGCAGATGTTTTGAATTGATGCAAGTGTGTGTTTTGGCATGAGCGCCCTGCTTCTCTGCAGGGGTTAAAGCTGTGATTTTACACATCCAAACTGGATGGGAGCATAAAAACAAGATATCATGCATTTTACAGTCACGTCAGCTCTAGTGTATTCATGAATAATAAGAGCATACCAGGTTGTTTGGAAGAGCGTTGTCAGGAGATGGAACTATGTAGAATGAATTGTAGATTTTTGCCGCCCATGCATAGACTTGCCTGTGTTGGCTGACTGCAAATGTAAAGTGACATTAAGACAGTGTGCTGTATGTGTGTTTGTGTATGTTTTAGGTGTAGATCTGACTTTCATTGCACCAAGACATGGGCTATCATACATTGTAGTTCTGTGCTGTGTGTGTGTGTGTGTGTGTGTGTGTGTGCCTTTTCACTGTTACCAGTTTCCCACCTACGGGGATAATCCATCCTGTGAAGTGGTGAGGTGGAAAATGCCATTATGTAGAAATAGCTGACGTGCAGTTAGACTTGCAGGGTATGTGATGTGTGAGCGAGAGTGTGTGTGTGAGTGTGTGTGAGAAAAGGAGATAGGGAACAGAGAGAGGAAGTATCAGGGCCAGAGACAGTAAACTTCATTTTGTAACATTATTTAATCCTCTCGGGGGCAGAGATAAACGAAAGGTCTCGGACACAATACACACATTTCCTCCTCAGCGAGGCCGGACAGAGTGCCTGTGATCCCAGCGTGGCGTGAGAGATGGATGCATGGGCTTTTTTGATGTGGGACCAATGTGAGCATGATGTCTGAGTATGTGACTCGAGCTTATGATCACAGACATTGCAGGACTGTCTTGACGTATTGTTGGAATGAGTTGCTTTCTGTAGCATGACAGATGGCAATGTCTTCCATCACTTTGGTCCAGACTGAAATATCTCAACAACTATCCAAATGATTGCGATGACATATTGCACAGGAGTTCATGGTCCCGGGTGGATACTTTGCAGTAACTTTGGTGATCCCCTGACTTTTCCTCTAGCGTCATCATGCTCCCAGTAGTTTGGTTAGTGACCAAACATCTGCAAAACTAATGCTGCATTCACATGCTCCTCGGATGGTCCCATTTCCCGATATGAGAAGTCGTTCTTGGGTGCGTTCATGAGCTTTAAGTCATAATGTGGAGCCAACATGGACGCTACAAAGGAGCAATGTAGTGTTTTTTTGCTCAGAGCATCTAAACATCACAATAACCGTTATATCAGTGATTGAGTCCCAGACACTCAAAAAAAAAAACCCACTAAAAAAACCCACTAAAAAAACCCCACAAGTTCCCGCCAAGCGGGAACTTGTGGGCACGGTCAGTGGGTGGAACACTACTGCGCATTTTCAGTGGACCACATACCACGTAAATAAACCCAGAAGCTAACTTTTTTTGGCGTATTCGCCAGGTGAGCAACTCCATTGGAATCTAAGTATTATTATTATACATCTATGGTGCTAATTAGCCGATGTAAAAACGTATGGTAACACGCTAAATTAAAATGATGAATAAATCTCAATCCCTGTTTTTTATTACGTTTAAATACAACTAATTTAAAACAGCATGTGTGGTTTTTTGAGGGATACATACTGCCAGGCAAATTGTGTTTTCTATTAACATAATGAGGAAATGTTTTCATTAACATACCTGGCAAGTTGTAAAATTGTCCTGCGTCTACCCCGACCACCCCCTTGGCAAATCTAGTGCAGTACATACATGTGGTGTTTCATTAACTTGAAGAAACATCTCTGAACATAATATAAGCAGTAATTATGTTTTTACCACAGTGTAATTATAAATGCCATTTGATGTTATCTCTAGGAGACAGGATTAAAATTCTATACTAGCTAACAGCATGTATCATTGTCATTGTAAGGATGTTATTATACTGATGTTTGCATTTACCTCAAAGCACTGCTGTGCCTCAGAACTGCGAGCATGGCTGTAGACTCATAGTCTTATTGCAGTTTCTGTCGGGGTACATCATGTTTTAACATCACTGAATCATCTAAGAAACACATTGAGGTCAAGCTAAAACCAAGGCTCTTTTATTTCCTGCTGTATTTTCGCACGTTGCTGAACATTAGGATTCACTTCTTGCCTCAGGACACTTCTGCCACCTTTGCCCTACGATGACATGAAAAGAGGAAAGCTTTCAAAAATTTGTTTCATCAATTTGAAGCTGCTTGCCTGCTGCTTTGCTGCACACCCATGCAAACCTATTTAAAAATCCTGCTGTAGGATAGATACGAGGCTGTAACTGTGTACTTCTGCACTCGCTGTCATTCATCAAAACACACATTTGCCCTCTCTGCACCTCGGTAATAAGAAGATACATGCAGAGACAGATCTTAGATCTGCATTGGTATGTGAAGGGGAGAGTGTGGTGTCTTTGGCTGTGTTACATTACAGTTCAAGCCCAGCCAGCTCTCACTTCCATCTGAGGTTGTAAACCAGTCAGCTTAAAGCCAGTTTGCCTGTGTCAGACCAGGTGGTAAAATCACACAGGAATTTTCTCACATTGTTTCACATTGATCTGATTTACCTTTTATAGCTTTATCATATTAATTTATGGCTGAAATACACTCTCAGGAGGAAACACTGGAAGTGATGTATTGGTGGATTGCTTGATGGATAGAATGTGGTGCTTTAAAGCCAAAAGAAATGTGATATACTTTCTTCTCATGTATTGTAGATTGAAGGCAGATCTCTCTTTGATGTTAGGCTTATGAATTTGCAAAGACCACATGCCCATACAGTACATACATGCACAGACACTCAGGCACACATGCACTCCTATGTGGAGACATGTGTGAGTTAGCGAGCTAATGTAAAACATAACAGCACGAACCATTTCCTAGATCACAGTTAATGTGTTGAGTGTGTTGCTCTCTTATGGAGGTTCATTCATTTCAAAGGGGATAATCAGTTACTGCTGCATGATTCCTTTGCCAGTGCAGTTTAAGTGTTGGATTTACTCTACTTAGACATTGATTATGCTCACTTAACTGAATGTTGTTGTGGCTCTCTCTATTGATACATTTATGTGGTCTTCAGTACACTTTTAAAGAAGTATTTCACCACTGGAAAGGTGGGCTTTTTATTGATAGCAGCTCAGATAGATAGGAATTGCGGGAAAGAGAGGGGTGATGACATGCAGCAAAGGGCTGCAGGATGGAATCGAATCCCGCTGCGGAGGTCAATGGGGCATGGCATATATGGGGCATACACTCTACCAGGTGAGCTAGAGGTCGCCCTGAAAGATGCAGATACTTTTGACATCGGCGGTACATGACCAGAGAAAACAGAGGAAGACAAATGTGGTGTTCACTTTTGCTCAAGAGGTACAAAACCTACAGCTCCCAGAATGCACTGCACCAGAACAGACCTATAAACACTCCTGCTGGTGCAAGCTTTGCTGTTTTTTTTCCACAGGAAACAATATGGAGGCCAGCTTGTGATAAACAATCTTGATTGGCAGTTAACTGCTAAGCTAAAATATGTTTCTGAAAACATTTGACACGAGAAATAGGCAACACAGTGACAGAATCTTGGTTCATATTTGATCAACACTGCATAGTTTTACTGTTTAATCTCATCTCATCTAATTTTTATAATACAGGAAACAGTATGGTGCCCACTTCCTGTTCACAATTTCTCATATTACAGACAAACAGTGCACTAAAATATATTTCTGAAAACATTTTAGGCAAGAAATAGGTCTTTCTCTCATTCTGTTTCCATACTGTCCGTGGTGACAGGCTATGAAAATAAGGAAGTACAATCTGTAATTGGAGCTGCAGCTTGAGAGCTAGCAAAAAGTTAAGAGATGAGCAGGGAAATCTGGGTGCTACTAAGATGGAGGGAAGTTTACCACTGATCATTTACACATACAACCCACACTGTTAGAATACAAAGCTGGCTGATAGTTGGCAAAGTATTAATTTAAATGGAAGGTTTTATGACTCCTTGAGCTGAATTCAAAGTGGACCACTGAGCAGCACGAATGCAGTAAAGATACTTAAATATCTTACTATCATTGAAGAATACCACTTGCTTTTAAAAATCACCTACCCAGATACACGTCTCCATGAGAGATAATATGCTAACAAAGCAGCTGCAATGTTTCTAGGGAACTGAGTTGCCTCCACTCAGTGTATGATGCCAAGTAAAAAGCTGTAGCCTTGGGGCTAATCTCTTTCATGCTAACCTGAAGTTTCCTCTGTCTGTTGATGAAGAGAAAAAGAAAAAAGGAGGATTGTTTTGTATCCCAGAGTGTTACTGGACCTCCAATTATGCTGAGACAGATAGTGTACTCCCTCCATCTGCAATCGCTGTGAAGAACAACTGTGCTGTCACCAGTGAGACTCATTTGTCTAGATGTACCTGTCCTTCTGTCATTTCTTGGAAAGGCTGCCAAAGACAGTCTCCATTCATCCCACACATCCTTAGCTGAACTTTGATCATGTTGATTTCTGAAGTATAAGTAAAAAGAAGGCATCATTTGAGTGTCGTGCTCATTACATGTTGCTGAGAAGAAAAACACGCTTCAAAAATATGATCACATAAGCAGGAGTTTGACACCACCACATTTTGGATTGCAGATAAATCACA